GTTATTATTACATACTTAACTAACTTAGACCATTTTGAATTCTAATAAGTGTTACAGTATCGTACGTAAATAGTGCTAGCGACGCGTGTGTCCATAAATTACCAATTTTAGGAGGAAATTTTGAGTCATTTTATTTATCTTTTTTTTTGCACAAATGGGATCAGTATCAATAACTCATTACCCAGAATTTTTTTTTTCGGTGATAAAAATTTAGTGGTGTATATTGTAATTAAATAACGGATCGGTTAGTATAATAATAGGATGGATTGATCATTGATGAATAGTGTTAAACACATAACGACTACAAACACTTAAAACCTACCTACTTGAAAGTTAACTCCTAAAGTATCTTAATGTCAATGTATTGTTTTGATATAAAAACAATAAGTGAAACAATTCTACGCGGGCATGCCTCGTCTGCCGCCACATTCACGGTCTGTTTCGTAACCACTGGATAAGTGTATCTTTATGCATAGATTCGAATAGAAGAACCTTTGTGAATAGCATTTCTAGAGGTCATCACACTCACTCAATTAGCACCTATAATGTATTTACCTACTTATGATTTCTTCTCCTGCATTTTCTGTGGCATCTCATGTTTTAAAGACAAGTCTTACTGCCAACGCAACTCATAAGTTCTTATTGTGATAATTATTTTTAATCACACATAATCGCAAACTAAGCGCAAATTGATTCCAAGCTGTCACGAACCTCGGACGGTGAGCAATAGCAAAGAGTTCAATTAAATTGGTGAACAAAACTTTCACTACAACATTTTCAATTTCAATGGCATGTATCGTGTTGGCTTTATTAAAATTAAGTAAATATGAACTACCTACTCAAAATCATTATTATCATTATTATCCTGTGGCCACTACCAAGAAATATCATGTCTTCGGTGGTTATACCAGAACATTAACACAGAGCGAGCCCGCATAAATTTGATTATGTATGTAGGCAAGTAGTCCGCTGCTCAGTAACTTAGAATAAGTTTAATAATAAGACAGACATGGCGCAAGACGTTGTAGGCAGTGCTATAAAATGTGATAATGGAAACAATGAGAACATTGTAGAGCCTTATGCGGGCAATATTTGTTGCTTGTTTAAATTGCATAATTGTTGTTTTCGGTTCGATAACTCCATTTCGTACTGTTTGTAAGGCACCGGCGAGTGACCGCCCCCAGCAGATTGGTTGGACTTGGAACAGTCGCGTGAAACCGACCACCTGATAGTGAAGGCGCGTTAAATAATTGTTTGCAACGTAGGAATGTGACGTGGCACCGCGCCCGGCTGATGCAGACGAGCGAGGCTCGCAATCAGTTCAGCCGAGTTTCTCCCGGAGTATTCGTGCTGTTACTTTTACGCGCGCGGCCGCACACGAACAACGCTCTGTTTCCCTAAGTCACAATAATAATTGTCTATGATACGCTGTTAGAGGAAAACTTTGACTTTCCATTCGTCTTTGTCACCTTTGAGAGTGCATTTGTCGCCGCACACTATTATGTCTCATGAGTTGAAACATTAACGTTATTCTTATGCATTATGCGCGCCGCTTTCCTCGGAATCACCGTCAAAGAGTGCGCACGATCTGATCGCGCCGCGGTGCCTTCTACAGCACCTGAATTTCAATAAGGGCGCTTATTAGCTGCACCGCCAGAGCGCAGGGATTCTGTCTCCTTTGTTTGACGCTCATTGTTATAATTATTTTTGTATTACACTAACGTTACGTACTTGCACGTGTGTATAATTATTTTCTGTCATTGTTACCTACATAATATATACCAATAGTTACAGTTTTGTAACCGTCTAAGCAGTTCATGTAATCTGATTTACTGGAGTATGTTGTTCACAAAATTATAATATGCTTATTATTATTCACATCAATACATTACAGATAATTATATCTAATTGACTTTAATTACTCTAATAAAATTGGTTGTTGTAGTAGTTGTAGTAACTGTTTTAAATAATTGAAGGAAAAATTTATAAATTTTATTAATGTATAATAGTAATATTTAGTAGTATTCTTATTACTTTTCAGGAGGTTTTTATTATCTTGAGTAAGTAGCCAACTGCTTAGGTACTCAGGATAATAAAGCTCCAAAGCTTGTCTAAATCTGTTAAGTTGTTACATGGAAGTTACGCCTTTATAATAAATTACTGCTTAAAGTCATAAATATCCTAGGTGCATGTACCAAATAGTTAAAATAGGTTTCTGGGCTAAATATCGAATTACCCAGAGTCTAGAGTCACCCACGACAGTTTCCTTCACTCCGATCGAGCAACAACTTACAAAAGACTAAGACTAATCTCGCTGTACATGGCTGCGCTCGCTTTGATTTGAACCCACGACCTAACAATTGAGACAAACTTTACCGACCAGGTACGCGGTCACGTTTCAGCGAGAGCAGGCTTATAAAATTCAAATGCATCATTATTTTAAATCTATCGCAATGACAGAAGAATACACGTTTTACAAGGAGGAGTAAAGGACGATGGCGAATGCGCTGTCTCTATGTTAGGCTATATTGTGGAAATTACGAAGTCTAATAGACAGCCAACGACCCGAATATGGTAGCTAAAGTAGCAATAGCACCAAACCACTAATATTTTCTCATCAACTGAAAGGATCATTTTTAGGGCATCATATCTATATATATAAAAGAAAGTCGTGTTAGTTACTCCACTTATAACTCAAGAACGGCTGAACCGATTTAGCTGAAAATTGTCAGGGAGGTAGTTTAGAGCCAGGAGAAGGACATAGGATACTTTTTATCCCTTTCGACAGCATTCCCGTGAAATCCCGTGTGACTTGACATGAAACGTCAGTCACTATAAAACGTGGTATAACAAAAAAGAATCAGACTTGGAATAACAAACCACGCGGGCGAAGCCGCGGGCGGAAAGCTAGTTTCAGATATTTACGATCCACATAGATTACTAATAAGCATATTAATATAGTTACGGTGTTACTGTTATTTGCTCGAATTAGTTAATATGTAACGAGAATACCTAAGTACCTATATTATGTAGATGACGAGCTCATTTAAAAAGAAGAAGCTTCAACATAACTAAACTTGAGGTTTGTTTTTCAACATTACCATTTGGCAAACAAGTTAGTCGAATCATCGAAACGCAAACAAACGCGAGATTAAAGGGGAGCCGATCAGCAACAGGCGCGGGCGCAACGAGATTTGGGAAACGATCCGAGATAGCATTACCGTGTACCGTTGCAGATCGTTGCCTGCGAGATTGTCGGATCGCCCGTGGTGCTCAAGTCCACACCGTTACTTTAGCACCAAATCTGCCTACAATACGTTCTTTGCAGTACTGTGATTCGGATAATAAGTTTAAAGTCACGATCCGGTTCCGTGAACCTGTCTACGTAATCTCGCCGCTGAATTAGAGGCTCCCTTATACGGAGCAGATGCATATTTATATTGGAGCTATCGCTGTAGATATCGCCAAGACAGATTGCACCCCGCGGTGATTTATTTTGTTATGATGTGGGTGCGATAGGAGCTTATTCAGCCTGAGTGCTTTACTTGGACGTTAATGCTTTCAGTTACAGCACGCGGAAGGCAGCGAGCCGGGCACTATTTGTTTATAAACACAAAACAAACTGATGTTAGATAAGTTGTTCTTGTTCTGAAAAGGCACGCGAATTCTAACCATTGCTTTTGCTTATGCATCTCGTTTCTTTGTTTTGTAGAGAAAGGTAAAAGCCATTATTTGAAGGCATTTTAATTGTGATTTAAAAAACCTGTCATAATGATAAATTACTAATTACATAGAATTTTTTCTCATACTAATATTTGAACTTTCTTCGTTTACTTATTAAGTAACGCCACAGAATAATAATAAGTACCTACTACGTACAGAAGTTTTACTTCGCGAAGGTATTTAAAAAAATGTACGCTCAATGTCATTAACAATATGGTATAGTTCCAAAATACTGAACTGTCCTATCCATGACATTGACAGCGGGGCGCCACCGTCAATACCGGATCGCTGGTTCCGATTTTTGCCATGTTGGAAACCATATAGTTGAACGATGGTAGCGCCCCCCTGTCATTGAGTTTGGTGGGACAGTTCAACGTGGGTCATCTATATAATTTAGCCTGTCTCAAGAGTCAAGCACCATTTTGTTGACAAACGTCAGTGATCGGCACTGCGCCGAAGCTATACGGCTGACTTCGGTAAAAATGATGTGACGTGAGGTGCCAAACTGCGGAAAATGGCGGAGNAATTATTTTATAAAATGGTGTTATTTCAAGAATCGTTGAACCGATTTAGAAGAAATTTAGTAGGAACACAATAATTTGTGATCATGGCAAGGACATGACAGGATGCCAAAGATGCCAAACTCTCTCTTTGATGACATTACGGTATAAAGTTACAAAAACTTACAAATAACAACACCAACTACAAAGTACTTCTGCTTAAAAACTTGAAATCGAACCGCCCTTCCGCCACTGTAACGCATTGTAACGTGTTTCAAGACCTCCTCTCCCCCCAGATTGCATTACGTAACACTAGAACGCCCCCTTAGCAACAAATACCACTTCTCACTTTAAAAAAAACACTATTTTTGTTTTCACCCACCAGAATGGATGGTAATGGGTAAAAACCGGGTTTTTACCCAAATCACCCGGTTTTAACCCAATCGGGTGAAATGGGTTTTTACCCACTACCCATCTCTAGGTACAAAAGAAGAACTGAATGTCATGTGGCATACTCCTCCAGTTTACATTTAAAAATTTGTCTCATATTTGGGGAATGTACCATGATGTTCATTGTAGTATTATTTTAAAAGTATGCCAACGATTTCAAAGTCATGCCTGTACGTACATGCATGTGTGTTTAATGTTTATAATCAAACATAATGGTCATTAATAATACTGATATAGTTTCCTTATAATATCGCAGTTTCGTGCTAACTTACTTACCAAGGTTAACACTTTGTTAATAACATTTGAAACTAACAAATAAATTACAATTTTATACTGTTGAATGTTTTAATTGGTCTCAGTGCAGTGTGTTGTGGTATTTAAAATATTAGTTTATTTTATTTAAGGTAACAAAAGAACACATTTATTATTACTACTTAGCTTTTCTCAAAAACCCTTAACTTCGAACTCCTCCTTCTTCTGATTAATTTCGTTGCGGGTCCAATGACAGTTTACTTTCCCCCGGGACAAACTTGACCTTCACTGGTTGGGTTATTGGCGGTCAAGCTGTAGATCCTGGCTACACAGGAGTTGCAGCGGTGGGAACGAGAGGTGGGAATAGTCTCGTAGCTTTTTCCAGCGCTTCGCTTGCTTTGAACTTTGGCCCTCATTCCAACCCTTAAGGGGGTGAATTTTGGAAAAATCCTTTCTTAGAGAATGTTTAAGTTATTAATAACTATCTACATGCCTTTGGTCAGTGGTTTGAGCTGTGTGTTGAATTTAATAATTGACTTCGGTCCCCTAAATGTGGCAGAGGGCGTCCACAACAGTCCTCCATCGCGTTCGGTCTTGAGTTCGTTTGATCTCGCTCCAAGTCTTGCCGATCTTCTTCGCCTCGTCTGCCACAGCACAGTGCGCTGCCAAGTTTGCTTGGGGCGACCACGTTTTCGTTTCCTCTACCGAAACTATGCATCCTATGGGAATATGTAAGACAAAAATAAATTTTCCAATATTACAGACCTTCTAGAGCAGATGCCGCGAAAACTTTACAAGATATAGATAGGTAAACTTGACTATCTCACCTATAGCAAATTGAATAATATTTTTTTGGTTCATAGTAGTCATGTCACTAGGACGCATAGTTTCCGAGGATTAAGCGAAAAACCAAAAAGTGGTACCTTTAAACTTCCTTCTCCCCGCCGGCTCAAGGGCTAAGGGCGGGGACTTTTGCTATGTTCACCTCCTAACTAGTCTAAATAAAGTCCCGAAGTTAGAAATTGTGTTCCACGGATTTCTACCTACATATCTATAATGCTTTATTGACTGGACTACAGTCGTTTTGGTCTATCTAATGATAGATAACTTAGTAACTGCTTTTGCGAGATAAGTTTCCTGACTCATTACTTACCTAATTAAGTACAGATAACAGAGTCAACTAATGTGCATGTTCCTAATGATATCTGCATATTTGTGGTAGGTACTCATGTACTAAACTTTCAATGCATAAATAAACCATTTAATTAATATAGTTTCTAAATTTGTTTTTGTATCAAACCCGGTCGAGTTAACTGCGCAACTGACGGCCGTGACGTCACATCGACGCGGCGAGATGCGCTGTTAGCTCGGGGCTGTAATAGTTTTTGCCAGTGGTTTTGCTTACGTGAATATCGATTTGTAACAGGAAGATAAAAAATAAATAAATAAATGACTATCGCTCTCGTTCCCCTTTATAATTGGGATAACGTCACGTAGCGTGATGGTATATAGCCTATATATAGCCTTACTCGATAAATGGGCTATCTAACACTGAAAGAATTTTTCAAATCGGACCGGTAGTTCCTGAGATTAGCGCGTTTAAGTAAACAAACAAACAAACACTTCAGCTTTATAATATTATGTAGTATGAAAATAGTTGTTGAAAGTTTCCGCTAGGGGCGCTGTACAATCCGTCATACATTTAATGTCACTTTTACGCGCTCACTAGTGACGACGTTTTATGTAAACTCACTAAGCCCTCAAATTGTGCACCACAAGAATAGCTAATTTATGTTATAGGTTACTTGTTGCATAACGCCGTCCCCTGAGATTGGCACGACGCATTATTGAGCGAGCAGAGGCAGAGCACAAAAGTCAACAATGAGTAAGTTATTTTGTTTATTTGTTTTTAAAATAGAAGTGACAAGTTGTAAACAATTTCGAAGAGACTTTTTATTAAGGTAATTTTCCTAGCTCGCATCAATATTTATTTAACTTCTGTATATTTTAAAGACTGTAAACCCTTGAAAAAGAGGCTGACAATAGTGGCTGAGTTTCTTGCGCTTCTTCTTAGCACTGGCCCATTTTTGTCCCGAAGCAGTGGTAGGGTTAATACTGGGACGTGTAAAAGTGCTTTTTAAAAGCGTACTTGCAAAAATAAAGAGTTTTATTAGGCTGTTAATCAGTGTGAACTAGTATGAAAGTGTGCACATTTACACAGATTTGGTATCGGCTGATTCGTCATACAAATTAGAATCAACTGTCGGCCGATATTAAAGTCTGTAGATTGAGTCAACACGCGCATCATGTGTAGTTCTTTGTAGTGTAAACAGCATAGGTACCCCTTAAATAAAGTGCAGTTCGTAACAGTTTTAAAATTATCTGGCACCTGGCTGACAATAGTGACCGAGTTTCATGCGCTGCTTCTGCACTGGCCCATTTATTGTCCCGAAGCAGTGGTAGGGTTAATACTGGGACGTGTAAAAGTAAAAAGGAATTAAAAAATGAGTTTTTTATGAGTTTTCATGCCGTTAACATTGTAAATACCAAATCTTCATCCCTAGGGGGGAATTTTCGGTTTACTGCCGTTTGGGTTGATATTGTCTAAATCACTCATTCTATGACAAAAGTAGATAGGTACCTACGTGCGCGTTTGTTGTTAAAGATAAAGATATTTTTTTACATAAAAATGTGTGTAAACATATTACAGAGCAACAAGTTGATGTTTGTTTGATATTTATGTGCTTTTGTTTAATTCTGTGATATCCCATTGTGATAAATGTGACGGGTTGTGGAGGCCTGATGTTCGCATATTTGTCCCTTACGACATTCACTGGAAGAGCGGGGGTGGTTCTATTCCACAATATATCAACTTACACAAATCTTTCCCCTGACAAACTTGACCTTCACTGGTTGGGTTATTGGCGGTCAAGCTGTAGATCCTGGCTACACAGGAGTTGCAGCGGTGGGAACGAGAGGTGGGAATAGTCCCGTAATACATCAACTTATGTTCCAGGGTTTCCAGTGCTGCTACTGTCAGTGGTATGCTCCAGCATCGGTCATCCGATCGACACAACGCCGACCTACGATTCATCTGAAATATCATCCATACAACGGCAAGTAAACCTGATCTCATACATCCAAAACTTCAAGCAAGTCATGGCGGATTACGTCAAATCTCAATACAGCAATTTATCGATCAACGAAATCGAAAAAGTGAAGGCAACTCTAGAAGATTTCTTAAAGAATTTCGCCAAAGATCTAAAAGAAACAATGGAAGGTGTAAACAATGAAGAGCCCATAGACAAGACAAACGACGAACAGTTCGCGGAAATAAAGCGGAACATGATCAGAGAGTTCCCGGATGTGACGCCAGAGGTTGCTGACAGGATCGTCCATAAACTAAAGAAGAATTTGTATACTACCCGCAGTAAATTGGATGAAATTATTAAAGAATCGGCGCAAGCGCAAGTGGAGAATTCGAAATAAAACCTGCATTGGTGATTTAATTTTAAAAATAGGAATAAGCACAATAGGTAAGATCTTATTATTTAACTTATTAGTGCATCGAATGCTGGGGCCACACTAACGGCTAACGTCAATGTCCATTATCGCGTTAATTATTACGACTTAGTGTGGTGTGGCCCGAGCATAAGAAAAAGAAAAAAAAATCTAACTAGCTATAAGTAGAGCTGTTATGTTCACATGAACTTTTGTATGAAAATTATATTTATTTTATACGAGTATGTCACATTTCTTCAACTTTTAATTCCAAAATGTTCCAAAATAATCCATTCTTCGAAGAAATCGCTTCTTAAAGACCATTTGCAACGAATGTAACGATTACATTAAAAGTAATTCTTGTTATTAAAGTTTTCTCCGGAAAAAAAGAAGCATTTGTAGCCCCTCGTATTTTAAGCTAAATATGCTTGTGTTACTACGAGTGGACTCACCACAGTAGTCGAGGGGCGGCGGGATTCGAACCCGCGTTCCTCGGATCACGAGGTCACCCGACACCTTCAGCGCTCGGCTATAGTCGCTGTTTTGTAATAATTAATTTTCACTTTTATAATTTATATTTTAGATTTTTCTCAAATAATCGCAAATCAATTTATTTAAATACACTGTGGCATATTAACTACTAGCTATCCGCCCGCGGCTTCGCCCGCGAATTTTGTCTGTCACAGAAAAATTTTACCTACAATTTTAAAGTTACGCTGTAACGGTTCCGTTACGACTATACATAAAACTAATAACAAATAAAAATATACAACCTAAATAATCTATTTATTATTAAACTATATAATTAACTACCTATACTTACCTATATACAANTTTTTTTTTCTTCCATCATACACAAGAATACGCGTGCGTGAGTCAATGTTCGCTCGTATGTGAGGCCTTGTCGAATACTATCCTGTAGGGGGCCATCGTGCGTGTTTTGTTTTCGATGTAAACTCGCGGAGATGAACAGGCCTGGTAACGCTGTCAATTTAATAAATGTCTTGGAAGCGTTTTCTCTACAAGGTAAAAAATTAGGAACATAGCCTACTCGTATATCTATTGCAATTGCAAGAAAGTGAATAATGATGTTACAAAAAGTGCTACAAACTCGAGAGAAACATATCCACATGCGAGCATCTATAAAAAAGGCATTTACAGGAATTCTACTGATACTGACCTTCTTGTGTTTCAAAAGAAAACCGAAAAAAATCTGGATATCTGTATGTAATCAGTTCCCAATTCGATTATTATAGGTATAGCAGGCTTTAATCAATCGCATTGTACAAAAACATTATATCTCTATTTGGGCAGGTTGACCCATTGCGTGCGTCCAACGATAGAGCTTTTTCAGATGTCTATGGCGGCTCATGCAGTCATACACCAAGGTTGTTAATAAAACCTTAATTGAGGCCGTAAAGTTTTCTCGAGTTAATCGCGGAGCGATCCTAAAGTAAAATAGTCCTATGACCGGTTCGTATAATATGAAACGTGACCCTGTCATTGTCGCTATATCGAGTGTCTCCGCGCAGGCGCAGGTAACTCACGCGTCCCGGGCGAGACGGGTACGGATTATACGTTCGTTGCCCCGGGCCCGTCCCGTGACACCGACACCTAGTGTAGCCTAACACCCCGTGCTAAAACCGGGACTCAGTTTAAGGGCATTTAGTTCTGAAACAGGGACACATGAATATAATCACAATCACGCTCTATCTAATTTCTAATAGGTACATACAAACTGTAAATTCAACGCAAACTGAAAAACTTTTGAATACTCCAAACTCAATGTACTACAGGACTAACTACGTAAATTCACCGAAGCTCTACTAAAATATTTGCAATCGTAGTTATACACGTAGTACTTATTATTATTCTGTGGTTATACTTAACTAGCTTTCCGCCCGCGGCTTCGCCCGCGTGGAATTTTGTCTGTCACAGAAAAACTTTATCGCGCGCGTCCCTGTTTCAAAAATCGGGATAAAAACTATCCTATGTTCTTTCCCGGGACTCAAACTATCTCTATGCCAAATTTCATCAAAATCGGTTGCGAGGTTTAAGCGGGAAAGCGTAACAGACAGTCAGACAGACAGACAGACAGACAGACAGACAGAGTTACTTTCGCATTTATAATATTAGTTGGGATTAAAATTTTCCAAAGTCGCAACATGTTAACGTTCCAGACAGAGTGAAAAAAAACTTAGGAACGCCCCTAAACCCCTGAAATAGGGACATAATATTTTGCGCAAATCGGGACAGGGCAACTCTACCGACACCCGAGCCGCCCGTCGCATTTAATAAACACTACATATCTATTTTAGCCTGCGGGAATCTCGTTATCGGTATGCAACGATGCAATGTGGCATGCGCCCGCGAGACTAACTACGACAGTTTTATTTGATCAGTGAACGCACTACTGAGTCTACTGACTACTGAATACGATTGCTCTTGAAATTACTTTTTCAGTTTAAATATCAACATTCAGTAGAAAAAGATGAACTTGATGGAATAGCAAAATAATCCAAATGCCTTCTTCGGTAGGAAGGAACGTTTAGTAGTGTAATACCAATTACCTAATACTAATTTATAATATTAGAAGGGTTAAATACAAACTATTATGGGCACTAAAAATAAGGTCCATATAATTCACTGATCGACATCACTTTTGCAAACTCTAGTGGGCAGAGCATATTATGCCTCAGGCCTGTACGTTCCTACGTCGATTTCTCGATTATTTTATCCTCAGAAACGTACCTAAATAAAACAACAAAGAATACCAAATCGGTTAACTTAGGATGCCTAGAAGGTGCAAGGTAAACGTCAAACCGGTTTGACTGGGGGATTCTTTGTTTCCAAGTCGAGACGTCGCGAGTCTCAGCCCAACCCGAAGCTAAAATTTCGCATTCTTGAAGCGAATTGTTTTTTCTTTTTCAGAGCCAGGCAATCGGGCGCTGATGTGTCTGCGAGGCCCGGGCAGCTGAGGGCCCGCGCGGCCTGATGGCGGCGGTAGCGGCGCGCGCGCTGCTCGCGGTGGCCGCCCTGGCCGCTGCCACCGCCCACGCGGCGCGCTTCGGCGACCGCCTCGCACCGCGCGTGCCCGCCGCGTACGCGCCGCGCAACGCCCCGTCAGTACACCACTACGCCGAGTCCGAGTACGACGAGACGTACGAACAGGATTATGAAGACCAAAACTTGGCCGTCGAGGAGGACGAAGCGTTACCCGAAACGGAGCCCCCTCCGCGCCGCCCGGCCCGCACCGAGGCCCACCGCCTCGAGATGAGCACCGAGTACTACCTGATACCGGAGCGCACGTCCTCCACCCCGCCGCCGCCGGCGCCCTCGCGGCCCTCGACGTCGTCCCAGCCCCCGCAGCAATCTAACACGACCTTTATTACAGTGGCCCCGCCCACGCCCGGGACTCTTCGACAAGAATCATGGGCTGTGCCGATTTTGGCACTCGCTTGTGTGACGATGGCCACACTCGGAGGATTCGAGGCTTTCATCGTTTGGGGTGCAAGACGGAAAGCTCCGAGCCATCGTCATTTACTCCTGGGCCAATGTCTCCTATTCGGACTGTTCACGTGCGCCGCCACTGCCGCGTTATTCGCTACGACCCCAACGGTGTTCACATGCGGAGCCGTAAGATTCGGGACGGGCGTATCTTACGTGATCGTTTTCGCATCGCTTCTCGTCAAATGTGTTTTTCTCCTGAGTTTAAACGGGGGAGTCTACCTTCCCGCGGCATACCAGGGTCTTCTTCTATTTTTTGCCGTCATGATTCAAGTGGCTATCGGCGCACAATGGCTCGGAGGCTCCCCACCGAGAGTTCTGATAGGGGGAGGTCGATGCGACGCCGCCCTGTCGGACTTGCTGCTGTCCCTGTGTTACGCCGCGTTCCTGATCGCGGTGGTGTGCGGGGTGGCGCTGCGCTCGCGCGGCATCCGCGACAACTACCGCGAGGCGACGCACATCGCGGGCGCGGGCGGCGCCGCGGCCGCCGTGTGGGTGTGCTGGGTGGCGGCGGCGCTGGGCGCGCCCGAGCGGCACCGCGACGCGTGCGTGGCGGCCGGGCTGCTGGCCACGTGCGCCGTGGTGTTCGCGCTCATGTTCGCGCCCAAGGGCCGGCGGCTGGCGGCGCTGGGCCGCGAGGGCCGCTGGGACGCGGACCGCGACGAGGGACTCAGTTCGCTGGGCGCCGGCGGCTCGGGCTACTCGCCGTCGTTCTTCCACTTCAAGCCGGTGAAGTACGGCATGGTGACGGCCGCGGCGCCCGCGCCGGCCCCGCCGCCCGCGCTAGACCGCAAGGAGCCGCCCGCTCAGCCAGCCGGTTAGTTAAGTATCTAAAATGCGCTAATAGTGAGAACTAGCGCTTCCAGCACCTCGATTTAATAACAGTTCTGTTCGCAGATCCGTATAGAGCGATGTTCGCGAGCTCACCGCACCTGCACTCACGCCCTCTTTGCTCTCCGCCGCACTACACTCTGCACCCTCTAATGCACTACTACAACTATCCACCTTTTCAGTACCTGCTGCCACCAGGTAAATATTTATTGGCAAAACCAAATGCACCAATAGTTTGATTAATATCCTGCCCTCAGTGTTAATGTAATTACTACTCCTAACTTTAACTGAACAAATACTCGTAACTGTTTCCTCAATGTAAATAAGCCGATTGAAGAGTCATTGTGGTGCATACTCATGTGCAATGCGTGCGCAGGCGTGCTGGTGCGGCCGGAGGAGGGCAGCGTGTACGCGAGCGCGGAGCCCACCTTCAGCAGCAACCCCAACGTGTACTTCCAGCGCACGGAGCCGCTGCACGTCGGCATGATGTACTGAGCCCCTGACAAACCAGCGTTCCACAGCGAACAGTGGGATTTGGCAGCGCACACGGCGCCACCGCTCACGTCACAAGCGGCTAGCGCCTGCGACTACGACAAACGCGTCGCGTTAAGTTTATTGTGTGAAACGGACAAATTTAGAGACAAGACGTTACGCTGTATCGAAAATATAATTGTTCCCTGCTGCCGCATAAAGTCAATTACGCAAACTACTCGTCTTAGTTATAATAAATTACTTTTATATTTCTTGAATCTACTTTCTAGTCATTGTCAATGTTTTATTATGATTTGAAAAGTGGTATGTGTCTTGCGAAATTAACTAGTGCACCATAAAAATATTTTTATTGTCTTATGTAATAAATAATACTTTATACAGCAGCAGATGAATTTTTTTACAGAA